AATTCCCAGGGCCGAAATATGAGCAACCCACTGCACCAGCCAAAACAGCAGCGTTAAGACTGATGGTGCTTTTCTGCCCAGGAATCTCCAGTCTGGCTTCCTTCCTGAGTCCGTAATAGGCGACTCTGCCTTCCCGGAGCTCCAAACCTTGGTCAGAAGGGGAACCAGTCCTGTTTACTCTGCACCGAGAGCTTCGAGCGGAGGTGCCGATGAAACCGCTGCGCCAGCCACAAGAGTCATGCTGGCGACCTGTGTGGCTCCTCCACTGGGAATCTTCTTCTCCGTGAGCAACCAAAATTTGTCTGAAAGTGTGGCGTCCTCTCCTTGTCTGAGCCTTCACTGGGAGCTGCAATCCCAAGATATTAGCGATTGGCCATTTTGGATTGTTCCTTTCTCATTCACTGTGAAGGAGTTTTTGAAAGTTTTTCAGCCTTCCTGACTCCCTTTCCATTTTTCTCTAAGGTATTTCCTCTCATAAAATATTTCCACTTTTAGAGTTTTAGTTTTAGTCATGAAGTCCTTGCCTATGCTATTTCCCAAATGGCACTGCCTAGGTTTTCTTCTAAGGTTTTTATGATGTTTGGTCTTGGGTTTAAATTTTTAATACATCTGGAGTGAATTTTTGTATAATGTGTAAGAGAGGGGTCCAGTTTCAGCTTTCTACACATGGCTAGCCAGTTTTCCCAACACCAAAAGCAACAGCAACAAAAGCCAAAATAGACAAATGGGATCTAATTAAACTTAAGAGCTTCTGCACAGCAAATGAAACAATCATTAGCATGAACTGGCAAGCAACAGAAGTGGAAACAATTTTTTCAATCTACCCATCTGACAAAGGGCTAATAACCAGAATCTACAAAGAACTTAAACAAATTTACAAGACAAAAACAACCCCATCAAAAAGTGGGCAAAGGATATGAACAGATACTTCTCAAAAGAAGACATTTATGCATCCAACAAACATATGGAAAAATGCTCATCATCACTGGTCATTAGAGAAATGCAAATCAAAACCACATCGAGAAACCATCTCATGACAGGTAGAACGGCGATCATTAAAATATCTGTAGACGTCAGATGCTGGAGACGATGTAGAGAAATAGGATCGCCTTTACACTGTTGGTGGGAGTGTAAATTGGTTCAACCATTGAGGAACACAGTGTGGTGATTCCTAGAGGATCTAGAAATAGAAATTCCATTTGACCCAGCAATCCCATTACTGGGTATATACCCAAAGGATTACAAATCACTCTATTATAAAGACACATGCACACATATGTTCACTGCAGCACTGTTCACAATAGCAAAGACTTGGAAACAACCCAAATGTCCATCACTGATAGACTGGATAAAGAAAACCTGGCACACATACACCATGGAATACTATGCAACCATAAAAAACGATGAGTTCATGTCCTTTGCAGGAACATGGATGAATCTGGAAACCATCATTCTCAGCAAACTGACACAAGAACAGAGAACAAAACACCGCACGTTCTCACTCGTAAGTGGGTGTGGAACAATGAGAACACATGTACACAGGGAGGGGAACATCACACATCAGGACTTGTTGCAGGGCAGGGGAGGAATAGCAGAGGGTGGGAGCACTGGGGAGGAATAACATTAAGAGAAATACCTAATGTAGATGACGGGGTGATGGATGCAGCAAACCACCATGGCGTGTGCATACCTATAGAACAATCCTGCATGATCTACACATGTACCTTGGAACTTAAAGTATAATTTAAAATAAAGAAAAAAAATCTTTCCACTTATATTTCCCTGATTATCATCTTCTTCTGAAGAACGACAAATATAATTATTAATCTTCTCTTTAAAGTATTGCAGATTCCAAAATTGAGTCTGGCCTAAGCAAGCAGGAAGGCTCAATTGTCCCCACAATGGGATATATGTAGGCCTGGTGAACAGGTGGTTCTCATCTGTTTGTAGAAGTGGAGCACAGCCTCGTTCTGTCCCAAGTTCAAATACTCATTGAGAAGAATTTGGTCCACTTCCCAAATGAGTTTAACCTGATCTTTTAGTAATGTCTTTTTCTCTTGTTCTTTCTCTACAGACCTTGTAGTAAAGAACTTAAATTTTATCATTCTGATGCTTGCTGAATTTTAATGGACATTTATATCCATATGGCATTAATATGAGTCAATTTTGCAATAGATTCTACAATTAGAATTAGTAATTAATCAGAGTCTTAAATTCACAGAGGTCCAGGTGAATTCTTCCATGGAACACAAGATAGAACACAGCATGTTCAAGATTCTTTCCAACTTTTAAGATTTTGGATTTCAGAATTTTGATTCCTGATGTTCAATTATTTAATGACAGTTTTAAAAATAATATCTTCAGTGCATATTTGATAATGTAAAACCTAATGAAAATTAAAATCATAAATATCTCACTCAAAAAATGTTAAATATTTTATCTTCATTTAAAGAAGTATTTCTTTTTATCATTAGGGTAATAATTTTCATTGCAACATAAAAATATAATCACCTAGTGTATGGCCTTTTTTATTAGATGCTTTTAAAATAATTCTTCATTGAATATGATATATTCATATATGCATTCTTTTTAATATTTATTCAACATATTACATAAAAGGCTACAATGTGTCAAGTACTATATCAGATGATAAAGACAAGTTGAGTAGAGAAAGCAGATGCAGTCACTGTTCTCTAGGATCATTCACTGTACTTGTTAAAGTAATTGTCTATTAGAAAATGGAAACTCTTCTTCATCAAGTGACTATTATCTGCAAAAGGTAGCCTCCCATGTGTCAGGTAGCTTCCCATGCGTCATCTTAATTCTTATAAAAATCTTATTAGACATTGACTCCATACTTCACCCACAATTAAAGTGAGTAATAAATCAGCCTAATTGAGGTATTTGCCTACCAAAAAGTTATTTTAGACATAATAAATTGATTTTTTGTGAATATATCAGAGATATGAACCCACCACTGCAATCAAATTTTAGATCATTTATATCACCCAGAAAGATTCTTCTGATTGCAGTTAATCCTTCTTTCACCCTTAGCCCCAATCAGCTACAATTCTACATTCTCTATTGTATTACCTTTACTGGATATTTTATATAAACAGAATAAAACAATATGTAGTCTTTAAAATTTACATTTTCTTTGGGCATAATCATTTGAAAGTTTATATACTCTGTATTATGCAACAGTAGTTCATTATTTTTAAATAATGAGTGGCATTTCATTTTTTGTGTTGATAAGCTAAATTCTGTCACTTATTTACCAGCAGAGAGATATTTGGATTGTTTCCACTTTTTTGTTTGTATGGTTAATGTTGCTATGAACACTAGTGTAAAAGTATTTGCATGGACATCTATTTTTTTATTTTCTTTATGTTGGGTAAATATTAGTATTAGAATGGATGAATGATTTACATGGCAGGTGTATGTTGAGGATTTTAAGAATCTGAAAAACTTTTATCCAGTGTTTTCCAAAATGGTATGCCTTCTTACATTCCCATTAGTAATATGAAGTCACACTTTCTCCACATTCTCATGAATATATTTTATTATCTTTCTTTTTTGATTATAGACATTCTAATGGGTACATTTAATATTTTTATAATCATAAACACATTTAAATTAGTATGAAGCCTGAGTATTATCTATGGTAATAATTTTTAAAAAGATCAAACATTAATATACCAAAATATTAAAATTGGTTGCTTTTGGATGATAAAATCAAGGTTTTCTCTTTTTTGGAATTTTTACATATTTCTTTTTAGTAAGAAGGGTATAGCTACTGACATAATTTTAAAATGGTGAATAAAATTATTTTTATAGCCAAAGTTTTTATAACTGAAGCCAGATTTCGCAGTAGAGAATTCAGAGAGCAACTCATATTAAGAATATCTAGATCCAGCATAATAAATGCAGCAGAAACACAGACATTAGAATATGGCACATGCTGAGTTTGTACTGTACTTTCATTCCCCATTGGCCTCCATTTCTTGCTCAACATATCTGTTGACAGTTTCTGCAAACCATTTTTAATAGATCTCATTCTACCATTTGCTAGATTTCTTTTCTTGCCTTGAGCTCCATGTGGCCAAAAAATATGATTAATATTCTGGAGAGATTTATTCTAAATCATCTAAATTTCAGGCTATAATGGGCTTAAACATATAAATATGTTAATTTTTACATTTTAATGACTAAAGATCTATAATTTTGGAATATATTTGTAGTCATAGAACCCTTTAAGAATCCAATAATAGCTTTGAATACTCTCTTAAGAAAAAAGCACATAGAGGATTTATTTTGTATATGGTTTTATGGGCCCACTGAGTCAATTGATTGTCCTTAAAAAGATCTTAAATCAGACTGGGTGCAGTGGCTCACAACTGTAATCCCAGCACTTTGGGAGGCAGAGAGGGGTAGATCACCTGAGGTCAGGAGTTCAAGACCAGCCTGGCCAATATGGTGACACCCCATCTCTGTTTTTTTTTTTTAATAAAAAAAAGATCTTAAATCAGTTTTTCATCATGTCCAGAGACAAACTTTGTTAGAAAAACCGTAATGTGGTATCGAATTGTGGTTTCTTTAGCTCTACTAGATCCCCTAATTACTATTTCGAAAGTGAGGACTCTTCATTTATTACATGCAATTCTGAGATTCCTAGATCCATTAGGATTCACAAATTGGTGACCTAGGTCCTGAAGTCTTATCCCTGAAGGAAAGAACAGAATTCATAACTGATTTGGCACCTTGAGAACAGCCAGATCACAGACACATACAATCTGGGAAAGTCTAGAAAACGGACAATCCAAGAAACAAGAAATTACTCTGGAACTGACTTCATTTGACATGAAACAAACTTGAAAATTATGCGGGATCTGTCAGATCTGTAAGATTCAAGCCGATCTCACAGTGGAATTCCCAGGGAAATCATTGAGGAGACTTGCCAGTGAATTTTGACTTCCAAGTAATTTGGTTCACATAAATGCTTAGCATTCTCCCTCATGGTTCAAACTCAGTTTTCCATTACTCAACCTGAAAAAAATGAGAGTAATCAAGGATTGAATGGTTGTAGCATCATCATAAAGAGAAAATGAGATTATTTAAAACTTACTTGGAAGGGCACAGACCTAGATGCTGGCTTGTGTGGTTTTCATTGACTGCCCCAAGAATGTGCACTTTGAGTCACTCCCTTCTCAGCTCTGGCCCAGATGGCTTATCAATAATATCAGGGAAGTGTTACCTAATGCCCTTTCTAATTCAAACTGCCTGGCTACTGGAACACTTAACTTTTAATTTATTTATTTCTGCAAGAAGAGTTTGCAAAGTACTTACAAATTCTAGAACTGTGGAAAACAAAACAAGTATTATTATTACATTATCTCCACCTTTCATAGTTGAACTTTAAAAAATTCTGAAAGCTAAAATATCTATTTTTTTAGACACAGGTTACAATTTAAAACAGCTTTATAATTTATTTCTGGAGGTAGTGTGTAACTCAAAGTTTTGCTTCACTCACCAAATCCAACCTCTGCTATTGTTATTTAGGGTTAAAATATAATTGAGTAGGCAGCAATTAGTAATCAATTGGCTTTATAGTCCTCTTTATACTCTGATATATGTCATTTGTTTGTCTTCCATTGCAGGAATTTCTGTGTGTTACTTACCATTTTACCTCCAGTTCTCAGAGCAGTTTCTGCTATATAATTGACATTCAATAAATATTTTCTAAATAAATTACTCAAAAGTAAATTTACTTCTACTTTATTAAATGAATAAACCACATTCCCCTAAGAATTGACTGAATTTACTGTTCCAGGTTTAATTTTAAGTATCTTTTTATTTTCTTTGGACAAACAATAGCTGTGCTACCATTAAGAGAAAAACACAAGGACATGGAGAGTAGTCATCTTTTATTCCCTGTGAAACAGAATAGTACTTTCTTATATAAAGAAATACAAAGCCTTCTTACCTCTTTGCTTCATTAAGTATGCAATGGTTACCATAGGTTTTCCCATCAGAAGCACAGACTGGTTTGTAGACAGATAGACATTTTGTTTTTCTTGTTGAGTTCTTGCTGCTGGCACTGCCAGTCTGTGGAAATGTGAGATATTGTTAAAACAAGAGGAATTAATTTAATTCAGATATTATAATAAACATATTCATGGTCGAGCATGGTGGCTCATGCCTGTAATCCCAGCACTTTGAGAGGCCGAGGCAGACAGATCACGAGGTGGGGAGATCGAGACCATCTTGGCTAAAACAGTGAAACCCCATCTCTACTGAAAGACAAAATACAAAAAATTAGCTGCACTTGGTGGTGCATGTCTATAATCCCAGCTACTCAGGAGGCTGAGGCAGGAGAATTGCTTGAACCTGGGAGGCAGAGGTTGCAGTGAGCCAAGATGGCACCACTGCACTCCAGCCTGGGCAACAGAGCGAGACTCAGCTCTGTCTCAAAAAGAAAGAAAAAGAAAAAAAAAATCATTACTCATTTATTATTAGGCATTGTAATCAACCAATTATTTTACTGATTTTTGTATTTAATTTTTATACCAAAACTGAAAAAAGGGTGTATTTTGGTAGAGCAAGTTAGCAAAAAGAAGATTCCACTGATATCCCCTGCTCCCCAACAAGGACAGCAATTTAACAACTATATACACAAAAGAAGCACCTAGGTAAGAACCAAAAATCAGGTGAGCTCTCACAGCATCTAGTTTGAACTTTACCACTGAAGGAGGCACTAAAAGGATGAGGAAAGACAGTCTTGAATTGCTGATGCCACCTCTCTCTCATCCTGTTGCAGAGGCAGCATGGCAAGGACAGAGAACCTGTTTGCATGGGAGAAAGAGAGCACAGCAGTTGTGCCACATTGCATTGAAGTCAGTGCTGCCCTGCAAAGCAGAAATCAAAACTGAGTTGAACTCAAGTGACACCTACCCACAGAAGGAAACGTCAAATCAGCCCTAGCCAGAGGAGAATTGCCCATCTCAGCAGTCAGAACTTGAGCTCTGGCAAACCTTGCTGCCATGGGCTAAAGTGCTCTGGGGATCTACATAAATTTGAAACACAGTCTAGGCCTCAAGGACTACAAATACTAGGTGAGTCTTCTGCTGAACAGGGATCAGAGCCAGTGGACTTGCAGGGCACATGACCTGAGACATCAGACAGGGTAATTAAGGGAGTACTTGCACCACCCCTCCCCAATCCCCAGCCTAAAAGGCTCTCAGCTCCAAAAGAGACCTCTTCTTTTCACTTGAGGAGAAGAAAGGGAAGAGTAAAGATCTCTAAGATGCTTTGCATCTTGGATACAAGCTCAGCAACAGTAGGAGAGGGCACCAGTTAGATTCATGAGGCCCCTTTCCAGACACTAGCTTCCAGATGACATATCTGGACACAACCTGGGCCATGAGGGAAACTTCTTACTTGAAGGGAAGGATCCATTCTTTCAGGACCCATCACCTGCTGACTAAAGAGCCCTTGGGCCCTGAATAATCAGCAGCAATTTTCAGGTGGCACACCAAGGGCCTTGAGTGAGATTCTGAGACTTTCAGGCTTCAGGTGGGACTCAATACATTGCCAGCTGTAGTGACTGTTGGAAGAGACTCTTTCTGCTTGAGAAAAGTGGAAGGAACAGTAAATGGCTTTGTTTTGCACCTTAGTATCAGCTTGGTCACAGGGGTATAGACCACCAACCAGGCTCTGAGGGTCTCCAATTATAGGCCTTGGCTCTTGGATGACATCTCTGGACCTGCCCTAAGTAAGAACAGAGACAGTGGCATAGAGGATAAGTCTGAGGCTAGGCAACAATCATCACAAGCTGACTAAAGAGCCCTTGGGCTGCAAGATAATATCAGTGGTACCCTGGTAGTATTCTTCATGGGCCTTAGACTGTGGTGACCACAGGGTGAGGCTCTTCTGCCAATGGAAAGAAGAGGGAAGAGTGGAAAAAACTGCATCTTATGGTTTGAATGCCATCTCAGCTGCAGCACAATAGAACACAAGGTTACCTTCTAAGCTTTTTGACTCAGGTCCCTGGCTCCTGGATGGCACCTCTCTCTGAACTGGCCCAGTGACTGGGAGAGTTCATCCCCCTCTAGGGAAAGATGCAAGCCTGGCAGGCTTTGCCATATGCTGATTATAGAGTTACAGGGCATGAGCAAATATAGGTAGTAGCCTAGCAGTGGTTACAGTGGTGAGCCCGGTGCTGTCCTGTCTTTAGGTCTGACCCAGCTACTGATGGTGGCCACTGAGATAATCGCATCACCCGACCCCAGCTCCAGGTAACTCAGAATAGAGAGACTTTATTTGCTTGTAAGAAGGTGAGAGAAGAAAATAAGAATCTCCGCCTTGTAATCCAGAGAATTCTTCTGGGTGTTTTCCAAGACAATCAAGTTGGCACCTCTACATGTCTACAAGAACCAGAGTATTACTGGGATTGGGATGCCCCATAATGCGAATACAGCTTGGATCACAAGATCACAGCACTCAAGTTCTTCCAAATATCTGGAAAGCCTGCCCAAGAAGGGTGGGCAGAAACAAGCCCAAACTGCAAAGACTACAATAAATGCCTAACTGTTCAATACCCAGATAACAATGAATATACACAAGCATCAGGACCACTTAGGAAATCATGACCTCACCAGATGAACTAAAGTAAGGCACCAGGGACCAATTCTGGAGAAACAGAGATATATGACCTTTCAAACAGACAATTCACAATAGCTCTTTTGAGAAAACGCAAAGACAATCAAGATAACAGAGAGAAGGAATTCATAATTTTATCAGATAAATTTAACAAATAGATTGAGATAATTAAAAAGAATCAAGCAGAAATTCTGGAGCTGAAAAATGCAATTGGCATGTCAGAGAAGGTATCAGAGTCTTTTAGTAGCAGAACTGATCAGGCAGAAGAAAGAAATAGTGAGCTTGAAGACAAGCTCTGTGAAAATACACAGAGGAGAAAAAAAATACAATGAAGCATGCCTATGGGATCTAGAAAATAGCCTTAAAATGGCAAATCTAGAAATTATTGTCCTTAAAGAGAAAGCAGAGAAAGAGATAAGGCTAGAAAATTTATTCAAAGAGGTAATAAAAGAACTTTCCAAACACAAAGGAAGTTATCAACATTCAAGTACAAGAAAGTTATAGAAAACCAGGTAGATTTAACTGAAAGAAGACAACCTCAAGACATTTAATAATCAAACTCTCAAATACCAAGGATAAAGAAAGGATCATAAAAGCAGTGCAAGAAATGAAACAACATACAATGAAGCTGCAGTGTCTGGCAGCAGATTTTCTGTGGAAATTATACATGCTAGGAGAAAGTAGCATGACATAATTAACATGCTGAAAGAAAAACAACAACACAACTTTCACCCTAGAATAGTAAATCTAGGAAAAATATCCTCCAAACAGGCAGGAGAAATAAAGAGACTTTCTGAGACAAACAAAACCTGGGGGATTTCATCAATATCAGACCTGTTTTACAAGAAATGCTAAAGGGAACACTTCGATCAGATAGAAAATGATGCAAATGAGCAATAAGAAATCATCTGCAGATACAAAACTCACTGGTAATAGTAAATGCACAGGAAAACATAGAATATTATAACACCATAACTGTGGTGTATAAACTACTCTTAATAAGAGAGACTAAACAACAAACCAATCAAAAATAATAATGGTGGCTGGGCACAGTGACTCACTCCTGTAATCCCAGCACTTTGGGAGGCTGAGGCAGGTAGATCATCTGAGATCAGGAGTTTCAGACCAACCTGGCCAACACAGTGAACCCTGTCTCTACTAAAAATACAAAAAAAATTAGCTAGGCTTGGTGGTGTGTCCCTATAATTCCAGCTACTAGGGGGGCTGAGGCAGGAGAATCACATGAATACAGGAAGCAGAGGTTGCAGTGAGTCGAGATCATCCCATTGCACTCCAGCCTGGACAATAGGAGCAAAACACTGTCTCAAAATAAGTAAATAAATAACTATAACAACTTTTCATGGTAGACACAGGCTGGGCACAGCGACTTAAGCCTGTAATGTCAGCACTTTGGAGTCTGAGGCAGGTGGATCACTTAAGGTCAGAAGTTCAAGACCAGACTGGCCAACATAGTAAAACCTCATCTCTACTAAAAATACAAAAGTTAGCTGGGCATATTGTTGCATGCCTGTAATCCTAGCTACTCTACTCAGGAGGCTTTGGCAGGAGAATCACTTGAAGCTGAGAGGCAGAGATTACAGTAAGCCAAGATCATGCCACTGTGCTCCAGTCTGCGCGAAAGCATGAAACAAACAAACAAAAAAAGAATTACACTGTTCTGCTGCCTACAAGAAACACACTTCAGACCAGATTGGTGGCTCATGCCGGTAATCCCAGCACTTTGGGAGACTGAGGTGGGTGTATCACGAGGTCAAGAGATCAAGACCATCCTGGTCAACATGGTGAAACCCCATCTCTACTAAAAATACAAAAAATTAGCTGGGCACAGTGGCGCGTGCCTGTAATCCCAGTTACTCAGGAGGCTGAGGCAGGAGAATTGCTTGAACCTGTGAGGTGGAGGTTGTGGTGAGCTGAGATTGCACCATTGCACTCCAGCCTGGGTAACATGGGCAAAACTCTGTCTCAAAAAAAAAAAAAAAAAATTAGCCATATCTTCCAGACAGAAGACAAAAGAAGAAACATTGTATTTAATATTCACACAACATTTCATTCAATGGCTGCAAAATACACATTGTTCTCTTCAGCACATAAATTATTCTCAAGGATAAGCCATATGTTAGCTCACAAAAAATACCAAAAATAATTGCAATAATATTAAGCATCCTCTCTGACCACAATATAATAAAACTAGAAATCATTAATGAGATGGATTTTGAAAACTATACAAACAAATGGAAAGTATGCAAAATATACCTGAGTAACCAGTAAGTGAGAAAATTCAAATAAAATTTAAAAATGTCTTAAAGCAAATGATAACGGAAACACAACATACCAAAACCTGTAGGATACAGTAAAAGCATTACTAAGAGGTAAGTTTGTAGCTATAAGAACGTACATCAAAAAAGAAGAAAGCCTTCAAGTAAATAACCCAATGATGCATCTTGAAGAACTAGAAAAACAAGTGCAAACCAAATCCAAAATTAATAGAAGAAAAGAAATAGTAAAGATCAAAGCAGTAACAAATGAATGAGAACTGAAAAATTGTAAAATATCAATAAAACACAAAGTTGTTTTATTAAAGTCAAACAATATAGACAAATCTTTAGCAAGACTAAAGAAAAAAGAGAGATCAAAATAAATAAAATCAGAGATGGACAAGGCAACATTACAATACTACAGACACTCAAAGGATCATTTGTGACTAGTATCAGCAACTATATGCAAATAAATTGGGAAATCTAGAAGAAATGGATGAACTGCTAGACACATACAACCTAAGCTTGGACCATGATGATATCCAAAACCTGAACAGATAAATAATGAGTAATGGGATTAAGCCATAATAAAATGTTACCCAGTAAATAAAAGCTTAGGATCTGATGGCTTCACTGTTTATTTCTATCAAATAATTAATGATAATCTAATATCATTTCTACTCAAACTATTCTGGAAAATAGAGAAGGGAATACTTCCATTCCTATTCTATGAGTCCAATGTTATCTTTACACCAAAACCAGACAAAGAGACATCAGAAGCTTTAAAAAAAAAAAAAAAACTATAGCCCAATGCCTCTGATGAATATTGATGCAAAAATTCTCGACAAAATGCTAGCAAACCAAATTCAACAACACATTAGAAAGATCATTTATCATGACCGAGTGGGATTCATCCTAGGGATGCAAGGATGGCTTAACATACACAAGTTAATTAATGTGATATGTCATGTGAACAAAATAAAGAACAAAAACTATATGATCATTTCAATTAATGCTGAAAAAGCATTTGATAAAATTCAACATCTCTTTATGATAAAAAGCCTTAGAAATCTGGATATAGAAGGAATATACCTCAACAAAATAAAAGCAGTGTGCAACAGACTCACAGCTAGTATTAAACTAAATAAGGGAAAACTGAAATCTTTTCCTCCAAGATTGGGAGCACAACAAGGATGCCCAACTTTTATTCAACATAGTACTGAAAATCCTCCTAGAGCAATCAGACAAGAGGGACATAAGAGGCATTGGAAAGAAAGAGGCCAAGTTATCTCTGTTTGCAGATAATCTGATCTCATATTTGAAAAAAACCTAAAGGCTCTACCAAAAAGCTATTTGAACTGATAAACAAATACAGTAAATTTTCAGGAAAAGAATCAACATAGAACAACCAGTAGGATTTTATTTGCCAATAATGAACAATCTAAAAAGGAAATCAATAAAGTAATTCAATTTACTTTACTTGCAAATTAATTTAAATACCTAGGTATTAACTTAGCCAAAGAAGTGAAGGATCTCTACAATAAAACTCTAAAACATTGATGCAAGAAATTAAAGAGGACACTAAAAAATGGAAAGATACTTTGTGTTCATGGGTTGGAATAATCAATGTTGTCAAAGTGTCTATGTTACCCAAAACAATCTATGAATTCAATGCAACAAAATACAAATGACATTTTTCATGAAGATAGATAAAGCAATGCTAAAATTTATGTGGAAACACAAAATACCTAGAATAACTAAAGCTATCCTAAGCAAAAGAAAACTTGAGGAATCACATTACCTGAGTTCGAATTATACTAAAAAGCTATAGTAACCAAAATGGCATGGTACTGGCATAAAAGCAGATACGGAAATCAGTAGAACAGAATAGAGAACCCAGAGATAAAGCCACATGTCCACAGTGAACCCATTTTTGACAAAGGTGCCAAGAGTATACACTGGGAAAAGGACAGTCTTCAATAAATGATGTTGAGAAAACTGGATATCCATATGCAAAAAAATAAAACCACCACACTATCTCTCACCATATGCAAAAAATCAACTCAAAATGGATTAAAGATTTAAATCTAAGAGCTCAAACTATGAAACTACTTCAAGGAAACTTTGGTGAAACTCTCTTGAACATCAGACTGGCAAAGATTTCTTAAGTAATACGTAAATAACACAGACAACCACAGAGAAAATAGACCAATGGACCACACCACATTGAAAAACTGCACAGCAAAGGAAACAATCAATGAAGTGAAGAGATAACCCACAGAATTAAAGAAAATATTTGCAAACTACTCATCTAGTAAGGGCTTAATAACCAGAATATGTAAAGAGCTCAAAATACCTCTACAGTTAAAAAAATCTAATAATTCAATTAAAAAATGGGTAAAAAATCTATATGAAATATTTCCAAAGAATAAATACAAATAAATATTTTTCAAAAAAATAAATACAAGTATATGAAAAGGTGCTAAGCATCATTAATCATTAGAGAAATGCAAATAAAAACTACAGTGATATATCTTCTCATCCCAATTAAAATGGTTCTTCAAAAGTCAAGAAGTAAAAAATGCTGGTGAGAATGTGGAGGAAAGGAATGTATATGAAACTTCATACACTGTTGGTAAGAATGCAAATTAACATAAATACTATGGAGAACTGTTTGGAAGTTCCTCAGAAACTAAAAATAGTGGGACAATCCCGTAATCCCACTTCTGGGTATATACCCAAAAGAAAGGAAGTCAGTATATTGAAGAGATATCTCCACTCCCATGTTTATGGCAGAACTATTCACAATAGCCAATATTTGGAAGCAACTTAAGTTTACATCAAGAGATGAATGGATAAAGAAAATGTGATACATACATACAATGGAGCCATAAAACTTCAGCCAATAAAAAATACACGCAATTCAGTCATAAAAAGGAATGAGATCCCGTCATCAGCAACAATGTGGGTGGAACTGAATGAAGGCTATTAGGTTAAGTGAAATAAGCCAAATACAGAAAGACAAACTTCACATGCTCTCACTTATTGTGGGAGCTAAAAAATTTTTCAGTTGAACTCATGGAGATAGAGAGTAAAAGGATGTTTACTAGAAACTGGGAAGTGTAGCTGGGGCAGGGGGAGGGGAAGTGCAGATGGTTAAGGGATGTAAAAATATAGAAAGAATGAATAAGATCTAACATTCACTGGCACTACAGGGTGACTCTAGTCAAAAATAATTAATTGTATGTTTAAAAATAACCAGAGTATAACTGGATTGTAGCACAAAGGATAAATGCTGGGGATGATGGATACCCCATTTACCATGATGTGATTATTACACATTGCAAGACTGTATCAAAATAACTCATATAACCTATAAATATACATACTTACTATGTATCTTCAAAAAATTAAAACAATTTAAAAAGTATATTTTGTTCTATTTTATAGCTGCACGCATAAAGGCATAATGGATTTATTGTCAGACCAGAGATTAGGAACAGATTAAATGTCCAAGATGTGATTCAAACTCTGTTATCTACTCCAAAGTCCCCGCTCTTACTACATGTCATACTTTTGTTTTTTGGAGACAAGTCCTCCTTTACATGGAAAAACCATAGTCAGGGAAAAGTCATGCTAGCAAATGCAAATCATGTAAACACAGTCATAATTTATTGAATCCCTTTTTTTTGTATGTCCATGAAAGAAAAGTTATAGAGGAAGTAGGATTATGCAGGATTTATTTAAATAATATCTAGGGCATTTCCTTTGGATGTGAGCTGAATGGCAGAAGCCTGTGAATATAAGTAAGCTTTGACTAGCAGGTGAGAACAGAGACATTAATGAGAATAATGAGATATTTTTGATAGAGAATGCAGTATTCTCAGAGCCGAGATGTCACAGGGAGATAAAAAATACCTCTATGTTTTCCAAATCATACAACCGTTTCATGACAATCAATTTATTTCACACATACTCTGTTAAGTGAACATGGTTATTTCTCCTATTCTAGAATAAATATAAAATTGCAAAATGTAAGTGACTTCCTAAAAACTCAGAGACCCGCTGGTGATGGCATTAAGTTCTGAATGGTAGGAGTCTCTCTGAGGGATTACTACTTCATGCCAGCCAAGTGATAATGACTAAGAGAACAAGTGGCCTTTATATGAAAGGCTTGTGAGGAATAAAAATTTATGAGGTAAATTTTCCATTAAGATGATGAGATAGAGGAAGTGTCTAGAAAACTGTTTTGAATGTCAGTATCAAATGGAGGATTGAGAGTAATTGTTAAATAAATTAGGAGGCTGATTGTTGGCAGAGAAGCTGGCAAGTGACGGTAAAAGCACGGCAAGACTCAGAAGGGAATACAGGAAAAGTGGATTAGATAGATATTCACCTGTTTGCAATGATGGCTTCCAAGTAGCAGGCATTTATCTATCCCTCTAACATGCAATTCAAGAGAACTTACTATATGCCACACCTATTTTAGGCTGTGGCAATACAGCCTAAAATATATTTTTAAATATAAAGTATTTTATATTTAAAATACAAAGTACCATATATTTGAAAATAAATGGTACTTTCTTCAAGAAGTTCATTATCTAGCTGAATAAATAGACACTCAATTACAAAGTAATAACGTGAGTTCAATAATCGAGGAAATCATTAGTATTAAGAATACATGAGTGGAAAATCAAAGGGCTCTGTATAATATGGGTGGTGTGTGAGCAACAGTGACATGAAATGAAGCTAAACAGTATGCAATATAGTCATGAAAATCTGTAAATTCTACATTTGGGAGTTTAAGTTATATCTTCTAGGTAGAACGAAGCCACTGGGGAATTTTGAGTAGGGGTCTAAAATATCAGAGAGGATTTTTGATTTAGAAATATCACTTCAGTAATTTACAGATTATTGATTGGGTAAAAATAGACATGAAAGTTAAACCTGGCAAAGGTGTAGGCTCAGTTGATGAGAGTCTGATTTATTCTAGTATAGGTAGAGGGGGCTTGAGTGGAAAATGATATAGGGAATGAAAGAATAGAAAGGCAGTATATTCATTAATAATCATGTGTTATGCGTAAAAATAATCAGCTCCAAAGTTCTTATTTTGTTTTATCAGTGTCATTGCAAGTGAAATGTCATTAATACATAGTGTTCTTTTAAGCATTTTAAGTCTTAGAAAATAGAACTGCTGGGGCAAGCTGACAGAGAAAATGAAGGTATTAACACTAACCTGAAAGTCCGTTATATTGTCATTCAAAGTGTTGTCGATATTTTTTCTTTGTTGATGGTTGTAAAGTGACCTTAATTTTCTTTGTTGGCTAGATGACCCTGGCTTCCATTCCTGGCCAGATGACCCTATATTTTCTTGCTGGCTAGATGTCCCTGGCTTCCCCTGTTGATTACAAGATCCTAGATCTCCTTGCTGGCTACATGACCCCAGATTTCCTTGTTGAGTAGATGCCCCTGGCTTCCCTTGTTGGCTAGATGCCCCTGGCTTCCCCTGTTGACTAGATGACCCTGGCTTCCCCTGTTGGCTAGATGCCCCTGGCTTCCCCTGTTGGCTAGATGACCCCGGCTTCCCTTGATGGCTAGAAGACCCTGGTTTTCCTTGTTGGCTAGAAGATCCTAGATTTTCTTGTTGGCTAGATGACCCTGGCTTCCCTTGATGGCTCAAAGACCCTGGTTTCCCCTGTTGGCTAGAAGATCCCACGTTTCCTTGTTGGCTAGATGACCCTGGCTTCCCCTGTTGGCTAGAAGATCCTAGATTTCCTTCTTGGCTAGATGATCCAGGCTTCCCTTGCTGGCTAGATGACTCTGGTTTCCCTTGATGACTAGATAACCCTAGATGCCCTTGTTGACTAGAAGATCCTAAATTCCCTTTCTGGGTAGATGACCCTAGATTCCCTTGTTGGCTAGCTGATCCTGGCTTCCCCTGTTGGCTAGATGACTCCACCATCACTTCCTGGCTAAATGACCCTGGATTTCTCTGATGGGTAGAAAATACTGGTTCCCCTAGTTTGCTAGAAGATCCTGCTTTTTCTTGCCTATTAGAAGATTCTGGGTTCCCTTTTTGGTTAGATTTTCCTGAATTCTTTAAAATCCCAGGCTGGTTCAAAACTCCTGGTCTTTCTTGCTTAAAATTCATTTGTTTCCCTAGCTTGTTAAAATATCCTGGTTGTCCTTGAAGACTAAATGTTCCTGGATTTCCTTGTGCATAACTACCTCCTTGCTTATTAGAATCCCTTTGTCCTCCTAGGTGGTTAGCTTCATTTTTTTTCTCCAGAATATGTGCAGGTTCTGAATTCTCATCTTGTTTGAAAACACTGGTATTTAAAATCTGGGTTGAAGATGCTGAAATGATAACACAACCAGAAAAAAAAATGAAATAAAGTTATTTACATTAAATAATTGTAAATCAACAACATTTGTCCAAGATATAATTTGTTTTGGATACTTTCTTGATTTTTTAACCAAGCCCCAAGAGAGAATCTTCCCATTCTTCCTCATATCTTGAATATTTGGGTTCCTTCTTTTTTTGTTTACTGTACTACATAAATTTCAAAATTAGAGGTCAATCCAACTTGCCTCATTTCTAAGTCACAAAGTCTGAATTATGTAAATTGAGCCATCATTCTACCCCCAATTCCTTTAAGTGGTTTTCTGATGAATTAAGCTGGCTCTGCACATTGCCCATTGTAAACTTATTTTTTCACAATACTTTATTCCTAATTTTCCAGTTTCACTTTACATATGGCACCATCAACTTTCCAGACAGGAAAAGGCTGGCAGACATGAGCTCTACTTTCTTCTTCTCTCTTTCATCCCACATACTCTCTGTAGCCATCTTTCTTTCCAGTTCCATCCCCAAAACAGATGTTTCCCTTCTCCTTCAGGACATATTTCTTTCAATCAGCTTTATGTTCACCATTTCCAACAAAAGGCCTTAGGATCAACCATGCTCTCTCTGGCGATTATATTTCTTCTTTCTATTTTGGTCAAACTACTCAAGAGAATGGTAAATATTATGATAATTTCTTAAAAACCTATGTTTTATAGCTTCTCCAATTTATTTTGGAAGCTTACTTATGACCTAAAGAAATATATATATTTATTATCTATAATGAAATATATATTTATTTATACATAATAAATTATGCTTATTTATATATAATATATATTTCATTATATATTTATATCATATATTATTATATATTTAATTATATGTTTCATTATATACTATATATTATATTATATATTTATAATATATAACAAATATAATAAATTTATAATAAATATAATTTATTACCTATATAATTATATATATATATATATATATATATATCTGTTTCAGACTTATACCTACGGTCTCACTTTAATTTTCAATTGCTTTGCTTTATATCTCCATAAATATACACATATGTACCTTAAAGTCAATTTAATATGTATATAATTGTGTATGTATTTATGTTTTATGATTTTTCAGATTATGTTCCAAAATGAGCACAATCTAGAAAACAATGAATAAACAAATGGGATGACTTTAGAGCTAAATATAAAAGTATCGCTTTGGGTATCCTTTTTTCTTTTTGGTAGAAGTGCATATTTTTCTCATCCTTTCCTTCTTGCTTGATAATTCCTCTTTTTTTTTTAAATTTTTTATTGCATTTTAGGTTTTGGGGTACATGTGCAGAACATGCAAGACAGTTGCATAGGTACACACATGGCAGTGTGTTTTGCTTCCTTTCTCCCCTTCACCCACATTTGGCATTTCTCCCCAGGCTATCCCTCCCCAGCTCCCCCTCCCGCTGGCCCTCTCCTTTTCCCCCCAATAGACCTCAGTGTTTAGTGCTCCCCTCCCTGTGTCCCTGTGTTCTCATTTTTCATCACCCGCCTATGAGTGAGAATATGTGGTATTTCATTTTCTGTTCTTGTGTCAGTTTGCTGAGAATGATGTTCTCCAGATTCATCCATGTTCCTACAAATGACACAAACTCATCATTTCTGATTGCAGCATAATATTCCATGGCGTATATGTGCCACATTTTCCCAATCCAGTCTATCATCAGTGGGCATTTGGGTTGATTCCAGTTTCCTAATATGGGGTTCTCTTAAAAGTTTTAATTAGGTTTACATTCTGTTTTCTGCATAGGCTTCCTTGCTATTTTTTTCAATATATGCAATTTAAAATCATTCCAATGTTGATTATTTCAGACTTATACTTCGGATATCCCTTGAATTTTCAATTGCTCTCCTTTATATTTTTATAAATATACACACTTTTACCTTCAAATCCATTTAAGTAAAGTTGTACGATAATCAATTAGTATGGACTGAGCATGCTAATGGTATACTACTGCAGGTGATTAAGATCTTGTCCAGAAGCTCAGCTGTTAGCAATCTGCTTAAATAAACTGTGGTATAGTGTGGATATGATTTGTGGGTATAACTTAGACATTCACTCAATTTAACAAAAAAAATACGTAAATTAAAAGAATCCACTATTATAAAAGAACCTTAGAAAGAGCTAAGAATGAACAAGACATTTATGGCCCTGCCTGCACGAAGCTGAGAAGTCTAGTAGTGGGGGCAAATAAGTAGGACTTTGTATTATAGTAGAATGATCAGTGCTATCATGTGAGGAGTAAACTAGACAATAGTCTCTTAATCGAAGTAGCACAGAGTGTGGAATCCTTTCCTCTTCCTGGAGAACATGGTATATAAGTAGCATAAGATTCAGTCAGAGAAGCTAATGAGAAAAAATAATTTTTTCAGCTGAGAGATGAGTACATGTATGGCTTCTTTCAGTTCTAGGAATAAAACATTGCTCATTAACAGTTGCTAACACCATGTAGAAATCAATTAAAGTCGATATGTGGATGAAATAGAAAAAAATAGTTGGTAAGATACTTTTATTAATGATTTTCAGTTTTTTTTTATAGGGGACACAAGTAAATGGAGCCAAATCCTAAAGATGCAAAGGGTAAACAGTTTAAAATGACTTTCCTTTTCTTTCCTGTCTATGCACCCACCCCAAACCCCCACCAAAATAATTTCCTACCTAGTACATAATTATTTCCTGTTACCTAGAAAACAGTAAAAGTAAAGTGTCCAAGACACCACCACATTCACAGGGATTTTTTTTTGTGAATTATTTCATAGACATCCTACGTATTTACAAACATATATGAATATAATTATCCACGCAATTGGTGTCACATTGTACACACAGTTCTACTCCTTGTTTTCTCCAAGAACAATGCAATGAAGGTTTTGCTACATCAATACATATAGATCATGTTGATTTCTTTTCTCTCGGTGGTTGCATAGTATTCCATTTTATGGGTTTACCATAATTTAACCAGTGTTCTAGTAATAAACAGGTAGTTTATCTCCCTCTTTTGCTATTGTAAGTAATGAATCAATGAAAATCTTAATAATGCATCATTTCTTACATTGATAAGTAAATTTATGAAATAAAAACTAGGAGTGAATTTTGGAGTGATAAGAGGCAATTAAAATATTATAATGTAGTTTCACTATCTATTTTTTTAAGCAAAATACTTGGAAAATAAGTATCTTCAGCTTTGTTTTGTTTTGTATTTTTTTCCTTCTGATTTTACAGACACTAGGATGGGCTTAGCATTGCTTTTCTGATTCATCTCTCTTCTTCATCTTCCAATCTATAAAATATAACCACTAGATATGTATTGGTACCACATCTGGTACTAATTAACACACTTTCTTCCATCAACAAATAACTTCTAGCACTTAGCAAGGCACTGAAGGTCACAACAGTTACAGTACCTGCTATAATGAAATATGAAATATATGTTCTATAAAGTAATTTTATATGTATATCTGTTTCCCTCTTAAACACACACAAACACACACACACACATGAATTGTTCTTCTCCTTTCTCTAATTCTATCTCTTAGCTCTCCCTTTTTCTTAACTCTTACTTCAGCAGCTCCTCAGTGGCATTACTGTACAACTTTTCTTACATCTAATTTGTTTTCAATATTACTACAAGACTGATCTTTCTTAACAGGATGAGTATTATCACTCTTGTACTCAAAACTCTGAAACAGCTTTGCAGTATTTTCAATGAAAAGAGAACCACAAATATAAGTGGGGGGTCTGAGGCACTTTATTTTATTATTTCATTTCACTAGGTATAAGAAAAATGGTCAAGCGGAAGCTTATGATTTGGAGATAAATTAGAATCCATTTCATTATCATAAGTTTTATCTTGAGAAATGAATTAATTGAGTTGTTTATTATCTTGAGAAATTTACATCTCAAAACTAGAAATTTACTTCTCTGAAAATCACCTACTTATATTGAGGTAAGGAATAGAGAAACACAAGTTGAGAGTCAAGTACCTAAAAAAACTCATTGTTAACTAAAGCAATTTGTCTGTATAGTTCCTGAAACAACCCTATAAAAATGTATAATAATTTTCATTTTGCAAATGAGAAAATTGAGATTCAAGTAAGTTTAACATGTTTCCTCAAATTAAATGAATGGGAAAAAAAAATCAGGATTGGAACATATTATTATTTGACCATACAGCCCAGATCATATCACAAACCATTTCCTTATAAACTATGAACTTGAATATTCACAAATTCATAAGCCTTTTCATCTGAATTCATCTTTCCAGTCTAATGTCTTGCCTTCTCTAGCCCCCTGTACCTGTTTCTCTTCCACCACACCAAACTATTCACTCTTATTTCATTCAATCACTATATTTATGACTTTGGATCTCTATTTATTTTGTTGGAAATTTATCTTCTTCCATTTCTCTGATGAATTTCCTATTTTTAAATCTTTTGACAAAGTATTGTTAAATCACTTAACATTCCTAATTCTTTACTTTGAGAGTTGGAAGGAAAGCTATTGACTGTGACTCTCTTACCTGAGAACACGGCCAGGAGCATGAAGGGAAAGAAAATGGAAGCCCCCATGGCACCGTCAGTTGTTTCAGACTTGACTGTTGTGGGAGTTAAGCCTAACTCTGCAGCAGGTGCTCTTCAAATAAACCACTCTGAATACCATGTTATATATTTGAAAAATTCTTCACCCCAACTGTCAAACACTGTCACTGTCTTTAATAAATTACAGAGTAATTTTCACAAACTGGAAGGTATTGCTTCTTGAATAAACTGTTATTTTCAAAATTAGCTTCATGCCCCAACTCTCATAAATATTCAAACTTTAATATGCGTCTATTAGATATCTTCTTTCCAGAAGAAAATTAAAATGATGAAATCCATGTGGGAAAGTGGTAAATTCAGTGTTCATATTTTTATTGTTAAGGGACGGCTTATCTTCAGTTAGTATTATTATTTGTTCTCCAAGTTTATATGACCACAAGAGAAACTTTCAAGTGATTTATATGCCAATTATGTACCTTAAATTATCTTTTAAAAGCAGGTAAAAATGCATTGAATATTGGTCATTCATAGTAATGAATGCACACAGTATTCATCCCGATGAATGATGACAGGTCATACATTTTTATGAGGCAACAGGATACAGTAGATCTCATGTTTAAGAAATAACATCACACAATTGGCATTGTTGCTTCAAGTTATTACGTCAAACAGCAGCTCGTGTGAAAATCACCTTGGGATTTTTAGTTGGTCATAAGCTCAATGTTATAAGACATCGGAATATTGTCTTCAAGATTGGTTTCTCTAAGTAAGAGAAACTTGAATCAATGGAGCATGTCCAAAAGGTAACTTTGATAATGTGAGGTCTGGAGACTGTAAAGCATGAAGTGGATTTACAGCAGTAGGAAGTGTAAGCTCAAAACAGTACAAACCCAGGACTGTTACAGTCATTGACTTCGTTTTCTCAAGGGCATCACAGTGGAGAAGAAAAATAGTTTTTGATCTGTTTAGTTACAGATAGCAGAAATAGTCTAAGGAAGTACAGAATAAATATTTTAGAGTTCTAAAGAAAATTTCAACTTTGGGAAGAGAGATGAACTAGATTATTTTTACAGTTACTTCCAATTCCAAAATTTTCAGAATTAGTGGTTCTGGCTTGTATTTGATTTTCCCTTCAACTTATTTAGAAGAAGGAAAAGTTTGAAAATGATAGATGATTTATTTTAATCAAGAAAGCAATTTTATGGCATCAAAAGGGACAAAGTTTAAGTTTCCTATAGTAAGAACTCAACTTTTACTCCCTGCATAATTATCTTCTAAATTGACTGGAATTCATATGAGTGTCAAAAGAAGCTTATAGAACCCAACAGCATTGGATTGTTTATACACAGACACAAACATGCATATATATACATACACACACACACACACACACACGGATGGATTTATATATATATATATATACATGTATGTGTGTTTTATATATATGTATACACACACACACAGAGATCAGGTTAATATTTCAAATATTTTATTATGAACAGCTGCAATATACAGGCAAAATGAAAGAATTGTGCAGTGAAAACCCATTGGTATGGTTTGGCTGTGTCCCTACTCAAATTTCATTTTGAATTTTAGCTTTCATAATTTCCATGTGTTATGGGAGGGACCCAGTGGGAGATAATTGAATCATGGAGCAGTTATATTGTTCTTGTTTTAATGAATAATTCTCACAAGATCTCGTGTTTTTATAAGGGGAAAGCCCTTTTGCTTAATTCTCTCTTCTCTTATCTGCCGCCATGTAAGACATGCCATTTGCCTTCTGCCATGATTGTGAGGCCTCCCCAGCCACGTGGAGTTGTGAGTCCATTAAACCTCTTTTTCTTTATAAATTACCCATTCTCAGGTATATCTTTATAAGCAGCATGAAAACGGACTAATACACCAATACACACACCATCAAGATTAATCAATTACCATTTTGCTATATTCTACTATATTGCTACCAAAATAGGTAAACTTTATAGAAGTTATTTCACATGCAGATACTCATTAATGGAGCTCAATGTAGTGAAGTTTCAAATAACAAATGAGTCACAAGAGATGCATTTGTATTTTGCCTAAACAATTGCCTCTTAAACACTCAGTGCTATCATCTGTCCTCCCCATGATTTTTTCTAACTCCAATACTGCTAATATCATAATAACAAGATTAGTAATAAATATTGGTGAGTGCCTTGTAGGTCAGGGTACTTCAGTAAAAAAGTACACTCTCATTAAGTTCATACTCCAAGGTTTCAGAGACTATCTATTTGTACAAGGTGTTCTTGGTTGCTCTGTCTCTCTTTATGTACCTATTTTCCAAATCATTTCAGAAACCTTTTGACTGCTTTTTTTAGTCGCTGCAGTTATCTTAACTGAAACATTTTATTTTTCTTATATTAATGGAAAATTTCTCACCTGTAGAATTATCTTCCATTTTTACTCTCCTTCACATTTGAAAGTAAGCTCAAAATTCGGGTTTGGAGCAGGCTCATCACACCCACATATTTTAAGAAGGGGTATAATGTGTTTCGTATGTCTTGAAGTAAGATTATAGACCAAGGCTTTTCTTTCAGTAGTCATTATACTTGGTGGAAATAACAATAGCAACAGAGTCAAATGACCCAAGGTGTCTGTCCTTTTTTAGCTATATGTCATGCAAGTTAATGTTAATATCTCTCTCTCTCTTTCTCTCTTTCTCTCTCTCTCTCTTTTCTCTTTCTCTACATACTAAACTATCTAATCATTTCTTCAATTTTCCTACCTAGAGGGTAAAAAATAATGACAGCTATTCATAAAATGAGAGGATCTCAGTAAAATTCTGTTGGTTGGAGCTCTTTAGACAATTTATCAAAGGTGACTTAAAAATTTTTGATTCAATATACATTTACTTTTTGAAGATGTAGCTGTTTGTAAATGCATATTGTTAATTGTGGTCTACTAAGGGGAACATAACTCTGAATCCTGGGACTTGTAGATTAAGAGGACTGTTTGACCTAGAGCAGATCTTATTTTGACATGTAACTTTGTTTTTCGAATTGGATAAAGCCATCTCTTCCACAGCATTATAGTGAAAATGAAAGGAGTTAATAAATAAAAGTTTCTTCTAAATTAAAAGTGTGAGATGTAGTCACTATGATTAACTATCTTTATTATCATCATAAAACAATCATGTTACAGTTTCAGTCATTGACCAGTCTGGTCCAGAATTCCATAACACTCACCTGCAAAGAGGAATAAACAGGTCACACTGATAAAAAGCAGAAGGGTACCTGATGGTGGCTTCTTGGTAAATGAGATCTGCATGGTTTATAGAAAATACACTAACAGAGTTCACTATTGACATTCCACAAGCTGTATTTTAGGTGGCTATATGCATGAATCTAAATACCTGTAAATTTTGTAGTCAGCTACATTCGCCACCTTAATTATGTAATGCATTTTCCCAAAGAGTAGAGATACCAGAACCAAGGGAACTTCAGGCCTTTTTTAAACATACAGGAACAATAGTCAAAAAGTAATGTTTAGGTGGAATGAAATGTACTACAAGTAACATACCAAGAATTTCCCCTGTTTAGCACATGGTGATAATTATAATCAAGTCATCATCTTCCATTTTGCATAAGTTAGACCTGCCTCCAGCAGAGCCTCGGGTCAGAGAGCTTCCATTTCACAGTAACCTATAGGATGATTTGCACAATTTGTGCACAGTATTAGTAAGGTTTGGTGTCACAACTACCAGGAAAATAAAAACGCTGACGTGAGGAATTTTGAAGTCAGGGAATTTATTGGACAAAGTAAGAGGGCACTCTCCATTATCATTGAATTTGAAACTCTAGACATCAAGGTAATATGAATCATGGGGCTATTTTCTTCAACCTCTTGCTTTTAGTCAGCCTATGCATGATGGTTTGTGGTTTATTTGTTTTACTTAGTTTACTTGTTACTTGGTCTTGTTCACTTGCTAATCTTAACAGAAATTCACAGGTTGAATTTGGTCCTTGTACATATATGCCATGCACACTTGTGTTCTTTCTCTTTCTCAAATCCATCTCATTCGCTGTTTACCTTATAACTCTTGTTCTTACTATTTCCTCTGCCTGAAAAACTCCTGTCCCAGAAATGTAAATGGACAGTTTTTCTTTCCAGAAGTAACAGCTCAAGTATTACTGACTCAGTAAAGATTTTTCTAACTATTTAAAATATTCCAACCCAAATCAATGTGTTTTATTGTCATAATACATTTTATTATCTAAAATTATCTTTTTTATTTCATTAATTATTTGTATATATTCTCACTGTCAAATCTACATATACATACACACAAACATATATATAAACACAGGTCCATATACACTAGGAAATAGCTCATGGATCTTTTTTCTGTACTGTGTCTCCATGTGCAAAACAAAGTTTACATAGATAACATTTGATTTTACAAATGTGAACCAATGAAAAGTCCTCTCTTCCTTTGAAGTAATAATTGAGCACTGATTCTTCTATGTATTATTAGATGCTGAAAATATTGTAATAACAAAGATATATTCACAGAGTTCACATTCTTCATTTTTTTCTCAAACGCTTGCTGGGTTGAACCTACTGTTTACTGGTATTTTAAAGATGAGAAAGAGAAGCTCACAGGCATCAGAAGAAAAAACAATTTAATTAAAGCTATAAGTAGAGAACCACTAAAGAGACCATTATTCACTTGGAAGTAGGGTGGAGGAATGGTCCAGCAGAGACAGTTGTCACCAGGAGCCACAAAGGACCTGGCCCTGAGAGTTTTTAGAAGGTATTGAAGCACTTGAAGGGATAACCAGCATTCTAAGAATAAAGAATCCTGTGGAAATAAAACAAACAAGAACTAAAGTATATTTTTTGGAAATGAGAGCAATGTTTAGACACAAATGCAGAGATGGAACTTAAGAAAAAAGGATTTTATAGTCTTTGCTGTTTCTTGTGCTTGGGACCCAGTAAGATCTTTGTATCTATGGGTTTATAGTTTCTATCAAGTTAAGACTATTTTCATT